CAATATTATTGGATTTAAACCCTAAGTTACTAGTGCTTGGTGTAACAGGATATGCTTGATGTTCCTGTTTTATACATATTCGGAGCTATTGTCCCAGCAACAATGATTGCAGTGCTCTATTATTTTGATCACAGTGTGGCATCTCAACTTGCTCAGCAGAAAGAGTTTAATTTGAGGAAACCCCCTTCCTTCCACTACGATTTGCTCCTTTTGGGATTCATGGTAACTACTTGACAACACTTTTGGCTTCTTTTAGCTCCTCTACAGTATTTCTCTTCTAATTCAAGTATTAAGCTATGACTTCCCTCTTTCCTTGCAGACATTGTTATGTGGTCTTATTGGAATTCCTCCAGCAAATGGTGTCATCCCTCAGTCTCCTATGCATACAAAAAGTCTAGCTACCCTTAAGCACCAGCTACTTCGTAACAGAATTGTTCAAGCTGCGAAAAGAAGCATAGGGATGAATGCAAGTTTAGGGCAGCTGTATGGCAATATGCAAGAAGCTTACCAACAGATGCAGACCCCTCTCATCTATCAGCAGCCTTCAGCTCAAGTTCAAGTATAACTTCTAAGCTCTTTACCTAGTTATTTGCATTTAGTTCAAGATAACATGAAGCTTAATTGAGTGAATTTCATTCTTTGATCAGGGTCTGAAGGAATTAAAAGATTCAACTATTCAAGCAGCAGCAAGCATGGGAAATATCGATGCTCCTGTGGATGAGAGTGTGTTCGATGTTGAGAAGGAAATAGATGAGTTGTTACCTGTTGAGGTTAAAGAGCAGCGTGTCAGTAACCTGTTACAATCCATTATGGTTGGTGGATGTGTTGCAGCCATGCCTGTACTTAAAATGATCCCAACCTCGGTACTTTGGGGCTACTTTGCTTTCATGGCCATTGAAAGCTTACCAGGCAACCAGTTCTGGGAAAGGATTCTGCTGCTCTTCACAGCACCAAGCAGAAGATACAAGTAAGTTACTTTGCTTCTCAATTCCTTTTCCCTTCCAGTATAAAGACTGGTTAACTAATTCTTGTCCCTAATTATATGTCCTAAATGCAGGGTTCTTGAAGATTATCATGCAACTTTTGTGGAAACAGTTCCTTTCAAGTCTATTGCCCTTTTCACCATTTTCCAAACATTATATTTGCTCGTCTGCTTTGGAATTACATGGATCCCAATTGCAGGGGTTTTGTTTCCTCTTATGATTATGCTTTTGGTTCCTGTGAGACAATACATTCTTCCTAAGTTTTTCAAAGGAGTACACCTTCAAGATTTGGATGCCGCGGAATTTGAGGAGTCACCAGCTCTGGCATTCGATCTTACAACGGTATAATCACTCAAAACACTCCTTTTTAAAATAATCATACTCAATTATATTGTTTATAATATATAGCATTAGTTGATGTATATTCTAAATATTAGTATATAAAATTCTGATGCTGATATTGATTGCTGAAACAGGAACATGAATTGGCCTCAGGGGCTACACTTGCTGGAGATGGTGAGATATTGGACGAAATGGTGACTAGAAGCCGAGGTGAGGTCAGGCATATATGCAATCCAAAGGTAACAAGCTCAACAACAACACCGTCAAGAGAGGTGAGAGGCATTCAGAGCCCTCATCTTTCATCATACAGTCCTCGATTACACATAAGTCCGCGATCTGGTAGGAACGTACCTTTTAGTCCAAGGTCTGCAGAAACTCAACCCTCAAAACTAGGAAAGAGTCCTGGACCTTCAACAGAATCAACTTCAAAGTAACAGCTTCAAGTTTTGTATTTGTAATTTATTGTTAACTTCAGCTCTTTGTATGGAAGTGTTAGGTCTGCCTGTTGCAATAGTGGTGTTTGTATTAATCAAATCAAAGTGTATAATTTTGGTGGCGCTGCTTTCATAAAGCTTGCAGCTTTTTCTCCACATGATAATTCCAGCAAATACTGGGAATATTATAGTAATTCTTGACCTGTATAATAATATCAATATGAATGTCTGATCAAAATCTAAAGACTTGATTCTATTGAGCAAAGCTTCATATTGAACTCTAAATCTTCTGAGTGTGCAGCCCCACCCCCTCAGAAAGGAAAACCTCAGTTATCAATAAGCAACTCGATTATGAAGATGCTGATTACATCAGAACGGAGTGTTGGCCTCTCTATAAATTGCCTTGTTATTTTATTCTTCTCAATTAAGAAAAAGTAAATAAGAATATATTCCAACAGAAGTTATTGAGGGATTTGGATCGGATTTGACTTTCATTGCTTGTCGTACGGGGTATGTTCCCTCATATTATGGGCATTCCATTTAAATAAGGAGAATAAACTAGAGACTAGAATCAATCCCAGTGACTTAAAACTCCATCGATACGTTACAACAACTAAGCTACATATATAACGTGTTCATAATCGTTACTAAGCCCAACTAAGTATTATATATATTTGTCCTGGAAGAAATTAAAGAAAGAATGATAGAAAGAGAAGTAACCCAGGGCATGGCCACCAACAAGCTTTATCTTTTAAACGACGTGCGCGATCTGAGTGTGAGCTAGCTACCAACGTCAATCTATCATCTATGAGCTAGTCTGAACAAAACAAAGCAATTGGTTTCTCTTTTTTTGGTATTCATTGCAGCTTATTTTGGCTATTTGCTTTCATCCACTATCCACTCTCCCTCATTCCAAATGACACTATCATATGAAATCCAAGCATGATATATTACTCATTTAACACAACTGTATCAAAATTTCCGAGTACTCCAGGCTAGTTAATGTGATGGCTGATGAGTGACAAAGTATCTGAACACTAAAAACAGTAAAGTGTGACAATTATTACTGGATGAAGGGGGGAAATCCAAACTTCTTCTCAGACAATCTGAACTTGGGTCTTGAATAATGTAGAGGATGAAGGGGAAGCTAAATTATGAAAAGTTTTGATACCAAAGTTTGTATAATAGCAGATGATATGATAGTGAAGTTTTTTCATGTCAGTAATTGTCCAACCTAGGTTTAGTTTTCTATTTTCATTTTCTCAATGATAATATGATATGGGTTCAAATAGTCCAAGAGCAAAGCCACCAGAAAGATTACTGTATGGTAACTCTCAACTGAAAAATGAAGTGTCATGACACAAGGAAAGGCATTCACGTAAAGAGGTAATTCGGATACTCAATATCCAGCCTTTGATTGACGTTATTTTTCGGATACTCAATATCCAGCCTTTGATTGACGTTATTTTGCTCCTACTTACAGAAAAAGGTTGTATACATCATACTTGAGTCATTTTTTTCACCTTAAAAGGTTCTTGTTTAAGGAAAACTAAAATTGCAGATTATGATTAATTAAGTTAGATAAAATAACATTAAGTTCAGTCATGGATCAGTTCGAAACAAAAACTAATACATACATAATGCACTTCCATGTATAAGAAAGATGAGTTAAGATGGAACCTTACCATCTTTCTACACATGATCTGTCTCTGCTCTAGATTCTCCTTGAATTATGTTAAGGATAAATTGAAATACACTTCATAATTGAGTATGTTTGTATATTCTACTTTTAGCATACGGCGAGGACGATCATAGCAGGTAAGAAGGGAATCAATTATACCAAACCAAAATAATGCAGATGAGGACAAGCTTGAAAGTTGAAAGTGATAACTCTCTTAAAGGCTAAAACATCCCACAAGTTTTGTTGGATTCATTGGTGGTAGTCCATTAGTAGTCTGATTCCATCATTGAGTTTACTAATCATAATCATAAGACCATTAAAATGTGACAACAGCAAGTTAGTAATAAAGTATGCAAAATTTTCTAATGCAGAAAGTGTGTATAATGCATTTATTATGAATGATGGCCTAAATTTTGTGTCCTTTATTATCAGTATGATTGCCTCAGCCTTGTGGGGCTTTCCCTTCTTTTGATTCTCTCTTTTTGCAATTACTTTGATAAGTCACCTTAAACAAATTAATCTCTATTGTTAATCTAATCATTAGTTTACTACTTTTTTGATATTCTAGTGTCTCAGTCTGGCTGTCAGAATTATTTGGCTATCTGCTTGTGCTAGGTTCTTGTAATTTTCTTCCCTCCGCATTCAGAAGAACAAAGAACCTTCCTATTATTAGAAAAAGGATTGTAGATTCTGTGATTATACAATTACTAGGTTGTTTGTAAGCTATGAAGCTCTCTGAAAAGATTGTTTGATGTCAATTTTTTCTAACATACTTAAACCATAAGTTGCGGGGATAGCTCAGTTGGGACTTGGGAGAGCGTCAGACTGAAGATCTGAAGGTCGCGTGTTCGATCCACGCTAACCGCATTTTCTATCTACCTTTTTATTCTAATCCGTTGTTAGGTTTAATTATTGTTCTATTACTTTTTGTATGAGATTCCAATGTCTGTCTATCAGCATTATTTGGATTTTGCTGGTTTTTGGAGGTTTGCTCATTCTGTATTCAGGAATGTTGAAGGACCATTGAATTATTTTATTTTTTTTGTGTTAAAGGCCTTTCCATATAATAAAATAGATACAGTAAGTGTTGATCCTTTGATTCTCCTTCACGAACTTGTTTGCAAGCTACGTAGCTTTCAAAATTATGTCTTTTGTCAAGTATTTAACACATTGTAACCTCAATAGCTCAGTTGGGAGAGCGTCAGACTGAAGATCTGAAGGTCGCGTGTTCGATCCACGCTCACCGCACTCTAGTTACTCTTTTTTGCTCTTCACTGAGACAATGACTACATATTGATCTTTCCGACTAATTTACCCTTCAATTGTTTTCCTATTTTAAATGCAATCTACAAATTTGAGATCTGCTTACAAAGTCAAGGTTTGATGTAGAGGAGTTATCCTAAACATCTCACTTTCAAGTTTACTGCATCCATGTGGCTGTTTACATCTAATGCATTATTTTATAATTCATACTAGACTTTCAAAGTTGTGCGTATGTAAGGAACCGATTTTAATTTTGTTTAATTTTTATCTCAGCTTATTTTGAGGATCAAGGAGAAGATAAACTATCTTTAATTGAGCCAAAATTTAAATACAATTACTAATGGTTGTATTTTCAATTTGTAATGTTTCTCTATTGCTTTTCGAGATAAAAATTATGTCCTCTTGCCAAATTGCTGTATTTTGGAAAATAAAATAAAAATTGACCAAGAAAAGAAATAAAAAGAGAGGATTAAAGATGCTAAGCCTGAGAATAAGTGACTCGCTGGAATAATGATGGAGATTCGGATGATGAGTGCAATGTGGTGTTGGATGAGCATACTGCTGCTGCTGCTGTTACTAACACTCTCAAATGGTGTAGAAGGTACTGGACGTCTGAAGAGGCCCCTTGTTGTTAATTTTGGAGACTCGAATTCAGATACTGGAGGGGTGCTAGCTGGTACTGGACTTCCCATTGGCCTGCCGAATGGTATTACATTCTTCCACAGGGGCACAGGCCGATTAGGCGATGGTCGTCTTATAATTGACTTCTTCTGTGAGTAAACTTTATACCATCGTTGGGAGTGTTATTTTTCTATGTTTGAAAAAATCTAATTCATTGTCTGGCAGGTGAGCACCTGAAGTTGAACTACCTGAGCCCATACTTGGATTCACTGTCACCAAATTTTACCAGCGGTGTTAACTTTGCTGTCTCGGGTGCAACCCTGCTGCCAAAGTTTGTTCCTTTTGCTTTGAGTGTCCAAGTTCGTCAGTTCATTCACTTCAAAAATCGATCACTTGAGCTCCTTTCACTTGGTAAATTAGTAGTATTAACTTACATAACAAGTCCATAATTCTTGAATGAAGCCTATTATATGTATATGGTCTAGAAACTGATGACTTACATTATATGCAGGATCCAGGGACTTGATCGACGAAGAAGGGTTCCGCAGAGCACTTTATACGATTGACATTGGACAAAATGATCTTCTATTGGCCCTTTATGCATCAAATATAACATATGATCCTGTTGCTCAAAAAATCCCATCCTTTCTTGAAGAAATTAGGTTGGCTGTGCAGGTAAGCTCTCAACTTGTGCATTTAGATTCTGGACTACATTCAGGTTCATTGTTAGGTGATTGCTAAAATAATTACAGACAGTACCAATATGGTGGGAGAAAATTTTGGATCCATAACACAGGGCCCTTAGGCTGTCAACCCAAAGAACTTGCCCTGCATCCCCACAAAAGCAGTGACCTTGATCGCGTGGGATGTCTTCGTGTACATAACCGAGTTGCAAAAACCTTCAATAAGGGGCTCCGCACACTGTCTGAGGATCTAAGATCGGTGTACAAGGATGCTGTCATTGTTTATGTTGATGTATATTCTGTCAAATACAGTCTCTCTGCCAACCCTGAAAAATATGGTAATAACTTTCTGAGCTCTCTTAAAGCTTATGTTTATTATTACTGGTAACAAAATAAATAAAATAAAGAAGCCCTCTTTATATATTATTATGACTATTTAGGGGTAAGGTTGTGCCCCAGCGAGATTAATTTTGAGTTATTGCTGTTGTTTAATCATTCTTGTTTATTTCTCAATTAAATTTAAGTTAAAAATGTGGTGTATTGTTCTAGGATTCAAAAACCCATTTGCAGCTTGCTGTGGTCATGGGGCTCCATACTTCTACGACAGAAACGCAACATGTGGGCAGCCAGGTTACAGCATATGCAGCAATGTATCACAGTCCATAGTTTGGGATGGAGTTCATTATACTGAAGCTGCTAATTGTGTAGTAGCTGCAAGAATACAGTCAGGAGTTTATTCTAGCCCGAAAAGTAAGCTTGAGCAATTCTGGAACTAACCCCTGATTTGCACTAATATAGGCTATTACTAGAGTGAGTACATTGAATGTTTGCTTAATCATTTCTTGAAGTGGGATTGAGCAGGAAATTTAAAGAAAAACTTTGTAGTTTGGAATGTTTGCTTCATTCTTTCTGTTTCGGATGAAAACAATGGGGCCTTGCCGAAGGCCCGCTGAAGTGGCTGAAGACTGGTCCGGTCCAATTGATGCTGGCCGAAGGTTTCCTGCACAACTAAAACACGTAAACTGGCCTCGGGGGTGGATCCGAGGAAGACCCCTCCGATGCCGAAGTCAAACAGTGTTTAGAGAGAGAAAGATATGCAAGAGATTTAATGCTTGAGGCTTTGTTGTGTTGTAATGTATAAATGAATGAATTGAAGGCTTTTATACCTTTGCACATGATGAGGGAGAGCAATTGGGCCTTTAAATAGTCATGGGCTGACCATGGCAATTCGGACCAAAAGACTCTTGGTTGACTTGGCTTAATTGGAGGCTCGGGCCTTGACCTTGGAATATGAAGTCATTTAGTGATCAGGCCCAATAAGATAATTGGACCCAAATACATGACTAGGCCCAATTAGATAAATTGGACCCAAACACTTTCTTTGACCCAATCAAGGTTGAAAGACCAGAATTTGCATAGTAATAATACTTGCTTCCTGGCTGTGAATTACTTCACAGGAATAACTTTCGTTGTAGCTTAGATAAATAGTCAAAAATCCTGCAGGGGAAATAAGAACCAGAAATCAGGAACAGACTAGTGGAACCCAATTGATCGCAACATGTGACGTTTCATTTACGCTTTAATCTGTCAATGATTAAGGTTCAATCAGAGGTTTATAAACCATGTAAAAACATTAGATGGAAGAGTTATGGACGAAAGAAATTAGGAATACAATAGGATGTGTGGACCATGGGAGAGGAAGAAGATCAACCATTAAATTTTCTTTTTGTTGCTGTTGATGAAGCCCTTAATCTAAAGCAAAGCCACCAGACAAAATCATTGCATGACAATTATTAATAATGGAGGAATTTTAAGCATAAAAAGTATCGAGTTTTTGAAGGAGAACACATAATTCAATAGAGGCGATTAAAGGTAACAGTATGAGTAATTAAAAACCAAATTGAAGCTAGCTACCTACTAATAAAAGAAGTGAAGTTGACATGCATACATAAATAAAGATTGAAAAGCTTGGAAAGAAAGAACACTAAGAAATAAGAATGTGAGTATGAACTATTACATCAGCAATCTTATCAGTCCCACAGTCTCCACTATTAAGAGGGAATCCTATAATTAAAGACTGTCTTATCATTAGTTCACTTCCAATTATCAGATACCAAGTGAGCCCTTGCATTTGAATATATAGCTCAAAAAAACCACAATTTAAGTCTTATGTATGTATAATGTATTGGTATATGTCAACCTATGTTGGTTTATTGTACTCCTTGGTATATTGGTAGCTATGTGGACGGAAATACGGAAGGATGAGGATTATCAAAAGTTCGTTAGTACTACAACGTATTACTATAGTACTTTACTAATCTTTATTAGTGTGTGCATCATTTTACATGTTATATTTCAACAACTAAGATGTATCTTCTTAGAAATATGAATTTTGGTTTGTTTTTTAACCAAATCATTACTTCCTCTCATCTTTATTTCTTCTCTCTTTATATGTTATATTCTCTCTTCTCATGACTAACCTCGTTAATCATATGTTTTTTTTTTTAAAAAAAAAAACCTCGTTAATCATATGTTTTTTTTAAAAAAAAAAACCTCGTTAATCATATTCTTACATTCTCATATCTCATTTTCAATATTATCAGACCCCATTCTTTAATCAATCTATTACTTGTACTTAGTTATGAAATATGTGATAGAGTACTAATCATACTATAGAATATAATATACAAGTAACAATTTTTGCTTTTTTTTTACACTATACAAGTAATAATTTTGGACTCCCCTATTACTAAATGCACTTATGCAACCCAAAAATGAAAATGAAAATTAAAAAACCAAAAAAAAAAAAAAAAAAAAAAAAAAAAGAGGAAGAAGAAGAAAATTTGGGCTTTGGGCTAATTAAAAGAAGAAGTTGGTAAGAATGGTAAGCATCCAAAATCCGAAAATTCTAAGAACCCAATTAAAAAAAACCCTAGTCCAGAAAGAGCAGTTATAAAAGCATCATCTTGAAAACCCTAATTTTAGTTCTCTGCCGTTCCACACGTTTGACCTCCAATTCCATTCCTGAGTGAGGAGAGAGATGACGACTCGATTGAAGAAGAACAGGAAGAAGAGAGGACACGTGTCAGCAGGACACGGTCGTATCGGAAAGCACAGAAAGCATCCAGGTGGACGTGGTAATGCCGGAGGTATGCACCACCACAGAATCCTGTTCGACAAGTACCATCCCGGTTACTTCGGCAAAGTCGGTATGCGTTACTTCCACAAACTCAGGAACAGGTTCCACTGCCCCATCGTCAACATCGACAAGCTTTGGTCAATGCTTCCTGAAGATGTCAAGGAGAAGGCTTCCAAGGAAGGCAAGGCTCCTGTCATTGATGTTACCCAGTTTGGTTACTTTAAGGTTCTTGGTAAGGGTGTTTTGCCTGATTCTCAGCCTATTGTTGTTAAGGCTAAGTTGATTTCTAAGATTGCTGAGAAGAAGATTAAGGAGAATGGCGGCGCTGTTCTTCTTACTGCTTAGCTTCTTTTTATCTTTTGTTTATGCAATTTTGTCATAGGAATGTTATCCAGGGTTTTAAATTTAGATCTGGAATTTGAGGACTCTTTTTGTTCTTGTTTCATATTCATTTAATGATATGAGCTATTATTTGACCATTTTTGTGATCATTACATGCTATGCTATGAAATTATTATTGTTTTTTTTATAGTGTTGATTGTGTATGAGTAATTTAGAACTGGTCGAAGGGTCTGTTAGGTTTGCCTTTTATGAAATTTGCAGTAATTCAATAAGTTGAAATGACAGGAAAAATAGGAACTTATTGTATTAATATTAATGGTTTCATATCCTTTTGATTTGTAAGGTTCATACTTGAGCTTCTCTGAGAATATTTGTTATTGATCTGAATAGACAGACTATAGGAGAGCTTAGGGGGCTATGAATTCATGGTCAGTAAAATTGTCGTGGATATTGGATTGCATTGAGGGGCTACTCTGTTACTTTAGAGACCTGAAGTAGTTTATTTTTAATCTTGTGTTAAATTTCTCAAATGATCTGAAGCTGAACAGAGGCTGCATTTGGAGGGTTTTCCCCTTTTCTGCTTTTCTGTGTTTTGTTTTTGTGTGGTATAAGATGGCTGCTGCAAAGTATTGCGCATGTATGATATATTAGTGTTAAGGATAGTATTGATAAACACAGGTCCTGTTCTGAAATTAGACAATGTAAAAGTGAATGTACCCCTGTTCGTAATTAGTCCTAGTTTTTGGGATGCCTAGAATTAGTCTTAGATAATAAAATACGTTATACAGAGATCACCTGCTCATCCTAAGAAAATGGTGGAGCGGGTTGCAACACTTGCAAGCTACCGGTAGCTGTCTCTTAGAATTGCACCTAAGGGATTAGAACAGTGTAGCATTACATTCAGTTTCTTTACGTTTTGATGTCGTTTGGAATAGAAACAGAATGTGAGGCGGCGAGGGTTGTGGAAATGTGGACAAATAAGATATTTGGCTCCATTGGAGAAGAAATATGGAAATAATGGGGGTGATGAGAGAGATCAGAATACTACTGTCAACTTATTTTTCTTGTTTGTTCTTATCCATGGATGATGATGCTCTCGACTCTTAAAGCCTCAACTTCAAATCAATGCTACTAAATTTGATTGAATTTAACTACTACCTCCGTTAACTATTATTTGCAACAAAGGGATAAATTCACATGTCTTGATTTTGGAAGAAACTGAATATTAGCACTTTCATATGATTTCATGAAAATGGATAAAAGTTCAATTTGAAGACTCAGTTGTGGTGAAAATGCAAAACTTCTTGTTACAAATAAGCTTGGAATCCTATAATCAATTGAGTTTGGTACTCCCCTAGTAATATGTTCTCCCTATTATGAATAATTTAGTCTCACGGTAAGATTATAAATAGAAAGAACAATATGAAATGGACAGAGGACTAGTGAACTAATCACCTAAAGGCAACCTTATTATAGTAACATTTGGGAAAGAAAAGTTATCCAAGGATGTCATGTTCTGGGGAATGAATATTGTTTGAGTATGAACTTCTAAATGAACTGTCTTACTCTTATGAATCTTATCAAAAACTATAACTTTTTAGTACTATCATTGTTAAAATACTACGGAGTACCAAAGCTTCATTTCATTAGGGTTTGAGTAGCCATGAACACTCCTAAAATGCCAAATTGGAGTGAGTTTTTAAAGTGAAGTTCTAACTTTAGTTTAGTCAAAAATTAAAAAAGTTCTAACTTTAATACTAACTTTGTATTAATTATGAGTATAGGCCGCTCTACAAACCAAGTTTAGTTTCGCCTTTATAATTAAATAAAGGCGATATTAAATATTCGACTAAAGTCCCAAGATAGGTTGAAATTTGGTGATGCTTAAGTAATGCATTTTCCTGAAAAATGGGCAATCAAAATAATCTAAGCTAACTTAATCAATAATATAATTTCCATTCATTAACTAACAGACTGTCTGGTTGACTTGTGATTGCCTCCCTTGGTCAGTCCTTAGTAATTGCTCTTGGGAGATGCATATTCATCAGACAGACAGATTCAATGTTTTAAGCTTTGGACTATCAGAAATTTGAATTGCTGGATTTTCTCTAGTTATATGATTGTTACATGCTAAAATTTCTTTCAGACAATGTTTAAGTGACCAAACTATTGAATTATATTGTTTGATCGCGATCGAGAGCACTGTCAGCCAGAAATCAAAGCTTATTTTGTCTGTAGTTCGAGCACTTGCAATCGAAAGAAGAAATAAAAAAAAACATATAGTACGAGGATCTCTTTCTTATTTTGTAGTATTGCATCTTTATTTGTTTTGGTTTCTGCATGATTTAAGTATATATGATTTGGTTGGTTTGCATGTATTATGTATAATACTAATTTATGTAGCCTTAGCT